GTAATACTTGGCCATTCCTTAAAATCCCCTCAACTCCTTGATGTTTGTGGGTTGAAGCGCATTCATTATTGCTTCCACATTCCGTGCTGTTGGTTTACAGCCTTCCTGACTAATTATTAATCCACACAACTCCACCTCAGGTTGCATGAATGAGCAGTTAGATACTTTTAGCGTCAGTTCTGATTCTTTCAAAATTTTTAAAACAGATTCTAAGTTGTTCAGATGCTCTGCATCAGTTTTCCCAGATATAAGTATGTCATCTACTTGCACTTTTTCAAATGACAGTCTGCCCAGCTATCTGTCCATCTCCCTTTAAAAGATGCCAGTCGCACTATGTACACCAAATTAAAGACGAGTCGGCTGATACAACCCTTGGTGAGTAATTATAGTTAAAAACTCTTGCGAAGTTTCATCTAATTCCAATTGTTGATAAGCTTGAGACAAATCAAGCTTGGTGTATCTCTCTCCTCCTGCAATAGTGGCTTACTGATCAATGATATTTGGTATTGGATAACTGTCAACTGGGGCTGCTTGATTTACAGTAATTTTATAATCTCCACATATTCTTAATGGACCAGTAGGATACTTAGAATTCTTTAAAACAGGCACTATAGGGGCTGCCCATTTAGAATACTGGACTTTCCTCCAAACTCATTGGTCTTCTAAGTGATTAAGTACTTGTTCAATTCTAGTCCTTAAAGCATAGGGTACTGGTCTTGCTTTAAAAAACTTAGGTTCTGCACCCTCACGTAATGGTATGAGACATTGGAAGTTCTTCAAGCACCCTAACCGGTCACCAAATACTTCTGGGTATTTTTCTACTAATGTCTTCACTCTTGAATCAGCCTTATCACAGAAATTAATTCCTCTCATTCTTTTAAACAGCTCTAACCATTGCAGATTTAAACGCTGCATCCAGTCTCTACCCATCAATGTGGGCACTTTTCTTTTTACTACAGTCCATTATACATTACTTCAACCAGCCCTATTCCCTCTGGTCTAATCAGCTCTCCTGTGTAGGTTTTCAAAACAACACCAGAATTTTGTAATTTTCCTTCATTCTTCTTTATTCTTTTGTAAGCTGAGATCCCCATTACAGAGACAGCTGCCCCTGTATCCACTTCCATAGAAACGTCACTTCCATTAATTTTTACATTAACCATAAATGGTCCAGTCACTTTATCAGACTCCTCACTTATTGAATATAGAGCTAAAAAATCATCTTTATTTCCCTCTGTTTCAGTAGTACATCCTTTTTATGATTCATCTTGAATCCAAATTTTCTTCAGACTTAATTTCTTTTCCTTCCTATGATCTAACTCTTTCTTTTCTGATCTGCACTTTCTCTTTATGTGCCCTATCTTTCCACATGTATGACATTTTAAATAACGATAATTACAATTGTTTGCTTGATGACCCCTAAACCCACAACAAAAACATTCTTTACTTTCTTCTGATTTTGTCCGAATTTCTACTTTATGCAATTCATCCTGCTCTATAAAGCTTTCTTTTGTACGTATAGCTTTGGTATCTTTATATGCTGTCTCATATGCTCTCGCTGTGTCAAGTGTTGTCTACAACGTAAGATTTTTTATGGTTAATAATTTTTGTTGCACATTTTCATTATTTAATCCACAAACAAATCTGTCCCTTAAATAATCATTCAAGTTTTCACCAAACTCACTGTGTTCAGATAGCCTACGTAATTCAGTAATATACCCGCTGTCAGATTCTTCATCTTTTCTATCTCTTTATAAAATTGAAAACTCTGTGCAATGGAGTTTGGTATCGGTTTCAAATGGTCCTTCATTGGTTTAACTATTTGAGTAAAACTCTTATTCTTTAAGTCATTTTCACATAAACTTCGGATAAGTTTATAAGCAGGTCCTCCTAAGGTCGATAAAAATAGAGCTTTTTGTTTTTCAGCATCTTCTATGTCATTGGCCAGTAGAAAATTGTCAAATTTTTCAATATATTCTACAAAATCGTCATTTTCTAAATCCAAACAAGATATATTCGATAAATGCATCATTTGTTTAATCGTATCGATAAGCCAGGATATCATCTCAATGATATCCTGGCTTATCGATACGATATCCTGTAAATCCACTCACACACATAAATTTTACTCACACACATTAATCCTGTTAATCCACTCACACACATAAATCTTAAAAAAGATGTTTTATCTATAAATAGTATATTTTATATAAATAAGTTGTATATTTTTTATATTTTTCATTGTATATTCACGAGGTTAGAATTATTTTGTTCTATCTCCATTTTTTGAAAAAAAATGAGTTATTAAATGTGTAATGTACCTCAAAATAATGTTTTTCTACTATAGTTCATTTAAAATGTGTGTGAGTGGATTTACAGGATATCGTATAGGTATTTCTGTTTGTATTAAAAATCGACTTTGGAAATATTGCAAGTGCAGAGTTCAAAATAAAATTTTAGTTTTATTTGCCAATTCAATATATATTGTAGCCAAGTTTAATTACGTTTAATAATATTTTGCGATATTTTCTCCAGCGCATTTAAGCGTTGATTTAACGTTATATTTCAACCTTTTCTCGACGTCTTTGAGTCACGTTAAATCGACGTTTTACTACCAACGTTACAAATCCTTGCAAAATCAACTGCTTTAACAACGTTAAAGTAACGCTTTTTAAGTAATGCTTTTTCAACGTTAAGTTGCAACGCCTATGCAACGCTTTTTAAGTAACGCTTTTTCAAAGTTTAGTTGCGACATTTTTGTAACGTCTTTTTTGAACTTTAAAAACAAAACTTTAAAAATTCATTGTTTACAAAAACATGCTGGTAGAATTATATACAACAAAAACCGGGGGGACCGCACTAAACTTTTAATAATGGATATGAAAATGATGAACATTTATCAGATAAATGTAATCCAACTTTATGTTTAAATATACCAACAATCTAACTCCTGAAATCTTTATAAATAAATTTAACAAAAATTTAATTGAGAAGTATTTCTTAAGAATAATTTAAAGTAACGCATATAAAATACCTAAAAAAGTAAACAAATACACAGAGTATAGCATAACTTATAAAGGACCTAAGCTGTGGACCTCTTTTCTAAAAGGCAATTTAAATTACTCATTAAATTCATTTCAGTATCGAACAAAAACTTACGTTTTTAAATGTTACGGAATAATTTTTATTTATAATTTTTACTTTTGTTTATAAAAAATTTTTTTTTAAACATTATATGTTCTTATTTAATTGTTTGTATTTTTAAATGTTATATGTAATCTTTATATATTATATGTTGAATATGATATTATATATTTATTGGGAAATTTGTATTTTAAATATCTTTTTAATGACTTTTTTTGACTATTAGTATTTATAAGCTCATTTTATATATGTATGCATGTATATATATATATATATATATATATATATATATATATATATATATATATATATATATATATATACATATATATATATATATATATATATATATATATATATATATATATATATATATATACTATATATATATATATATATATATCTATATATATACGTATATATATATATATATATATATACGTATATATATATATATATATATATACATATATATATATATATATATATATATATATATATATATATATATATATATATATATATATATATATATATATATGTATATATATATATATATATATATATATATATATATATATATATATATATATATATATATATATATATATATATATATATATATATATATATATATATATATATATATATATATATATATAAACAAAAACCTCCAAAACCAAAAATAGCCCCAGGCCCCAAGAAGTTTTAATCCGCCACTGTATGTGGTCACAGCTGCCCCAAAAGTGAGAGCAACAAGTTGATGAAATATTTTTTTAAATTTTCCCAACTTTGTTTATATTCATCGATAAATTTTAAATGTCATACAATTATCTCTTAGCGTTAAAAAATACGACCATAAACTTTGTAACCAATTCAATATGAGGAGGTGCAAACTTTATAGAGTCATAATTTGAACGTTAAAAGATTAGTCTATGAACGTTAAAAGATTAGTCTATGAAATTTAAAATTTACCGATAAACTAAAATTAAGTTAAGAAAATTTAAAAGAATATTTTTTCGACTTGTTGCTCTTTCGAGGACAATTGTGGTCAAAATTTAAGGCCACAATTCAATCATCGCAATTTTTTGCCAAGCATCCTAAATTTACGTAAGTATAAACATATAAATATTATCTAAAACAACAAAAAATGCAGGATCTGCGCCTGTTGTATATATATTATGGTGCTTCATATTTTATCAATTTTTAAAATTGAACTCGCGAATCGATTTATAAACTGACCATTTATATGAAAATAAGCTTGAACAAATATATTTTTTGTGAAAGGAAATTGTAGTTTATATAAACAACAAAATTAAAAAAAATACCTGTCCCCTATTCATAATGGTTTTTTAATTCATTATGCGATTGTAATTTATATACCTAATTAAACATTTTTTTTTTTTTTAATTTTTAAAATTAAATTTTCGTTAATCAATTTTATCAATTTTATCAATATCAAACTTTATCAATTAGTATTGATGTATTCAAAACTACTACATTATACGATACTTGAATTTCATCTAGACTGACACACCAGGACTTTGCTTCGTTGACAAATGATGTAGAATAATTTTTCAATGCGACCAATAGTTTCCACTATCGGCACTCCTCCAAATGAAAGATCAGAATATCTGTTAAAATTATTTAACCTACCTTAAATAAAAACAAAAAGCGGTTGTTAAACTCTACATCATTTGTCAACGAAGCAGAAATCTGGTGTGTCAGTGCAGATAAAGTTCAAGTACGTATATTGTAATAGCTTTGTATACATTAATACCAATTGACAAAGCCATAGCCGTGATAATTGATTATCTTAACAATGATATATTTTTGATTAAGTTTTAAATTGTTACCTGTACAGAATACTTGTGTAGATTAAAGCCAATAGATCTACCCCTGAAATTTCTTAAAGTACCAACAGCAAAAGAATAAAATAACATCTGAAGTGTAGGAATTTTTTCAAGCAACAAATCGTTTATGTCAGCCATTTCCGTACAAAGAAATTCAATTATTTCAAACAAATCCAGTTTATCACTTTTCAAAAAGTCAACTTTTGATTCTTCAACATCACATATTGGTTCTTCTATTTCAGAAGTA